AGTGGCTACCCTTCCGGCAAGTCGTTGGATGTCTTTGATATAGGTAGGTGATGGAATGTTCATTATTGAGTTGATTTGGTCAGGATTTGCTTCGATACCTTGCTGTGTGACTACATAGCCTAAGAATTTTCCCAAGGAAAGTCCAAACAAATACTTGGCTAGATCAAGCTTCATGTTGTACTTTCTTAAGACGTCAAAAGTTTGTTAAACATGCTTGAGGTGTTGTTCTGCGACGAGTGATTTAACCAACATGTCGTCAATATAAACTTCCACGGTGTCCCCCACATCTGGTGAACATTATATAAACGAGGCGTTGGTAGGTCGCACCAGCATTCTTCAGTGCGAAGGGTATGACTTTGTAGCAAAAGATGCCCCTTTTTGTGATGAATGTTGTTTTCTCTTGGTTGCATGATGTATCAAGATTTTATTGTACCTTGAGAATGTATCCATAAAACTGAGGAACTTGTGGCTGGCGGTTGCCTCTACTAGCATGTCGATGTGAGGCAATGGAAATGAATCATTTGGATATGCCTTGTTGAGGTCTGTAAAATCAATGTAAACTCGCTACTTTCCATTTTTCTTTCTTACCACAACGACATTGGCGAGTTAGTCAGGATAATGAACAAAAAAAAAAAAAAAAATGATAATTTAAAGGAGCATTCATTATCGGGCCACCACTTGAATAAAAAATAATTTATTTTATTTTTCTAATAAAAAATTTCTCTCTCGTAAATAAAAATATTTTTGTTTCAAATTAAGATTTTTTTATACAAAATTATAAACAGATACTAACAATTGATATATTTAAGATTTTGATACGAACAAAATAAATGATAATTTAAAGGAGCATTTTTTGTTGTGGAAATGATAAATTTCATGTTTTTCATTCTTTTCTTTATTTTTCAGATAAAAATACTGAATGTGTTTTTATTTTTCGCGTTTTCAAATACCATTTTCAAACAAATATATCAAACACATTTACTTTTAGCTTTTTCTAATCATTTTGAATATTTATTAAAAAAAAAAAAAAAAAAGGAAAATGAAAACACAATATCTATCATAAATGCGCTAATATGGATTCTGGCATTTGGGTAACCTCTTAGTGTGTTTGGTTGGAACCATATGGGATTACTGAGATAATGTCATCTTATATTACTTGATTATCACTTTTGGTTGTTAAGTAATATAAGATTCCGGTAATCTTCCGATACCAATAAGGGTTGGATCAGGGGTATATAAAATAACGAGGGCAATCTTCATTTATTTTGCAAGATTCTTGTGTTTGGTTTGCTAGTAATAAAATTTTACGATAATCTTTTATTGTAAATAGTGTTTACTGTTGGTAATGTAGAGGGTAATCTTATTACCTTGTTAGGGGTGTTATTAAAATATTACCGGGGTAATCTGATTTTTCTATCCATTTTGCCCTTAATTAAAAACCATTTTGGACACAATTACCCTCAAATGTCTACCAAATAACAATTACTCAACCCCCTACATTTGAGAAATTACCTAAAACACCCCGCCACAAAAAAAGTTTAAAAGTTAACAAAATACCCCCAGCCACCTAAGACCACTGCCGGCCGTGACTCACCACCACCAGCCGTCAGTGTCAGTCGCTGTAATGGTGCACAACTGGCGGGATTTGGCTAGTCATGTGTTGGTGAGGCCTTTTTCGGCCATGGATCTGTTGGAAATGGCTAGACCTGACGTTTCTATGACCGTTTCACGGTCAAAGATGTGGCCATGAAACGCCCACAGATCTGGGTGTGAAATGGCCATAGATTTGGGTGTGAAATGGCATGGCCAAAGATCTGACCTTTTAACAGCCAGATTTGTGGCCATTTCACGACCAAAGATACGACATCTTTGGCCATGAAATGGCCATAGATCTGGTCGTTTTCCTTCCATGGATTTGTGATCCATGGCCATTTCAGGCTTTGTTGGCGCACAGTCAGCCAGATACGGTCAGTCGTGCGCCATTTCGTTGACTGTCGGCGGTGGTGGCTAGATGGCTACCGACAGTGGCTTGGGGTGGGTGGGGGTGATTTTTCTATAAATTAAAGTTTTACATAACTGGGGTGTTTTAGCAAAATTTTAAATGTAGGGGGTTAAAAGTGGTTCAAAAAATAATAACAAAAAATACTATTATGTTAATATTTAAAGGGAGGGCAATTGAGTAATCTATATAACATATCCACCCATTTATCCTTCCAACCAAACATATTATTCACCAATTTATTCGACCAACAAAACACATTTTCTAAACATTCTCAGTAATCTTCAATGTGATATTTCTTTCCGTTAATATAATATACCGCTATAATAAAACATTATATGATCCAAACGCCCACATAGTAGTTACTGTTGGTAATATAAGAGGTAATCTGATTACCTCTATTTTCTTAGGTATTTCAAGATTACTTGGTAATCTTATTTTTGTTACAATTTTACCCTTTATTAATAAAATTTTAGGACAATGCCCTTATTTCAAAATCAATTTACAAAAATATCAATTGACTATTTTATCCTTACCTATAAAGTTTTTAGGACATAAATACCCCTGAAATTTAAAAAAATTACCCAAGGGTGCCACCGCCAGCTGCCGACAACCACCGTCAGCGGTCGGCGATGATAACAGAATGGCACACGACCGACCATATCTAGCTGGTCGTGCGCCAGATCTATGGCCGAAAACAACCAGATATTTGGCCGTGAAATGACGACAGTTTCATGGCCAAATATCTGGCCTTTCACGGCCAGGTCTCCACTTTCACAGCCAGCAGTGGCTTAGGGTGGGTGGGGGTGTTTTTGTTACATTTTCATTTTTTTTTTTTTTTGCTGGGGTGTTTTAGCTAAATCTGAAATGTAGAGGGTTAAAAAAACCATTCAAAAAATAATAATAAAAATAATATTATATTAATATTTTAAAAAGAGGGCAATTTAGTGAATTATACAACATACCTATCAATTTATTTTTCTCAACCAAACATATTAATATAACATACCCATCAATTTATTCCATCCAACTAAATGCATTTCCCTAAACATTGAGGGGGCGTTTGGTTCAGGGAATGTTGGATTACTGGGAATATTGGATTACTGGAAATATAGATTACTGAGAATCTTTAGGAAAATGTGTTTGGTTAATTGGTGGGTATGTTATATTAATATGCTTAGTTGGGAGGAATAAATTGGTGGGTATATTATTTAAATTACTGAATTGTCCTCTAATTAAATATTATTATTATTATATTATTTTTTAATATTATTATTATTATTATTATTTGGATTGCTGTAACCCCCTTACATTTAAAAACTTAGCAAAAACAACCCCATAATAAAAGTTTGGAAAATTAACAAAACACCTCCCCACCAACCGAGCCACTGTCGGTCGCTGACAACCACCACAGGCCGTCGACACGAATATCGATGCATGACGACCATTTTCAACTTTTCGTGCGCCGTTCCGTCGACGGTGGTGGTTACCGACGGCAGGTGGCTGGGGGTGGTGGCTTGGGTGGGTTGTAATTTGTTTTGAATTCAAAGGTAATTTTGTCCAAAAAATTAATTAATTGGGGGTGAAAAGTAAAAGTCATATTCATATAAATAAATTTAAAAATAATGGCATTATTGTCTTAAAATTTTATTAATAAGAGATAGAATTGTAACAAAAAAAGATAACCCTGGTAATTTTAGAATACCTAAGAAAATAGAGGTAATCAGATTACCTCAAATATTACCAATAATAACTACTATTGGTATTTGAAGATTACCAGTATCTTATATTACTTGACAAGTAAATATGGTAATCAAGTAATATAAGATGACTTAACCTCAGTAATCTCAAATACCGCCTAACCAAACGCCCTTTCATAGTAATCTTGAATTTCTAATAATCTTCAAGGGGGCGTTTGGTTGGGGGTTAAGTGGGATTACTGGGGTAATGTCATCTTATATTACTTGATTACTATGTTTGGTTGTCAAGTAATATAAGATACCGGTAATCTTCAAATACCAATAGTAGTTGCTATTGGTAATATTTGAGGTAATCTGATTACCTCCATTTTCTTAGGTATTATGAGATTACCAAGATTATCTTTTTTTTGTTACAATTTTATCCCTTATTAATAAAAGTTTTGGACAATAATACCCCTACTTTAAAACAAATTTACATTAATATCCTATTTCAATTTTACCCTTGTTTAATTAAAATTTTGGACAATAATGCCCTTATATTTAAAATTATTTACAGATCACCACTGCCACCCAACCACCACCACCACCACTGCCACCCAGCCACCATCGCCGACAGTGGGCCAACCACCACGGACCACTACCGGAAAATCGCCAGAGTCCCTAAAAAAGAAGAAAATTATGTGGGAGGCTTCGCTATGGCCGTTTCCGGCCATATTGATGGCCGAAAGCGGCCATATTAGGCCAGATTTGGCGGCTAACGACTAGATCCCTGGTCGTTTTTCCGACGGTGGTTCGCGGTGGCGGCAAGAGGTGGGGGTGATTTCGTTATAAATTAAAGTTTTATATAAGCGGGGGTGTTTTAGCTAAATCTGAAATATTGGGGGTTAAAAGAAATTATTCAAAAATTAATAATAAAAATAATATTATATTAATATTTAAAAGGAGGACAATTTAGTAATTTAAATAACATACCCACTAATTTATTTCCCATAACCAAACATATTAATATAACATACCCACCAACTAACCAAACATATTTTCTTAAAGATTCCCAGTAATCTTCTAAGGTAATCTATCTTTCCAGTAATCCAACATTGCTAGTAATCTAACATTTCTGAACCAAACGCCCCCAAGAGTAATACAACATTCCTTAAACCAAACACACTATTACAATCATGGGTGGTATACACTGGGGCTGGGTAAAACCATCTGCCCGACCCGACCGGAAAACGACAGTCGGATCAAATGATTGATCTCAAAATTCCAATTTGAATTCTCAGGATCGCCCTCTTAAAGTTCGTTTGTTTCAAGCCCTAAATACAACACTCCCTCTAGTAACTTAACATCACCATTTGCTTCTTTAGTAACGAATATTCAACGAAGCTCCACATATGGATAAAACTGAAATCAACGGTCCCAATTCACGGTTCATCTCCGCCGACTGCGGCAGCACCGTTAGATCGCCCCCGCAACATAACTACAGTAGCCGCGCCGTTCAGGTACACAGCACACGCTTCTCCGTACAAGCAGTAAATGTACATAATATGCTTATGCTCATTTGTACGTAAAACCCTAGATGTTATTTTAGGGTTTTAGGTTTCAATTAAATTTTCGTAAGGGTTATAGAGCAGGGAAGGCGTTATGTCGATAGATGTTTAGTTCTTAAGGTTTACGTTGGTTATATTATTTGCTTAGTGCCTTCAAAGTGTTATGTTGAATTGTGATGAGAATGTGGAAACTGGAAATGTGGTAGAAAAGATTTTGGCATTTTTTAAGCTGTCTACTGTAGGGGTTTAGAATCTGAGAAGTATGTAAAAGATGTTTGTTTTCTTGTACTTACACTGTGAAGAGAGCTTGTACAAGTAAGATATCGTGTTTTAATTGTTTTTTAGGTTAGAGTGGAGGAATATAGAAATGAGAATATGTTTATGGTTTTCGATTGAAGTAAATATGTGTTTTATGAGTTATTTTGATTTGGGTTGATTATAATGTAACCAGTGACGGTATTGCATAAGTAAGGGGTTTTATTGTACATGGTATTCTAACTTCATCTTTTTGTTGTCTCCTGTTTTATTGCATTTAGGATAATGTGTTTAAATCAACAGTGTTGTATTAGGTGGCAATCCAATCATAGAATTGGAAATAGTTGGAAATGGTGGTTGCCTTATTCAGAAACATTAGACATTGACATCCTGCTAATCCAGAGATTTGGTTACATAGTTCCAAGCACGGTGTTAGTTCAAAAATTGAAGCTGTGAATGCTTCTTGTTGTCGTGTTTCTGTTTTGTTATTATTTTTGAATGATGAGAATAAAATTGTGTAAAAGTTGTCTTGGACGTTAAAGATAAAAATGCCTTTACTATATAATGTGCTATTCAGCTTCTGCTAACAATGATTAGTTTTATCAGGAGTTTATATTTTCCTATTAATTTCAATTTCAGGAAACTTTGGAACACTTGGCATCTATTGATCTCAGTGAGTTGTGCAATGAAGCCAAAATTGAGCGTTGTCGGGCAACTAGAGACTTGAGAAGCTGTGGGCGTTATGTACAGTGTGTGTTGAACTCATGTGGACATGCCTCTTTATGTGCAGAGTGTAGTCAACGGTGTGATTTTTGCCCAATTTGTAGAATACCCATACCTAAGGATGGAAATAGACTTCGGCTTCGCCTTTATTATGAGTGCATAGAGGCTAGTCTGATATCCAAAAGATGTGATGAAAGGTTCCAAGATATAGAGGATGGGGAGAATCAACTAACTGCTGATATTCAACGGCTTTATTCTTTGTTCGACATTGCCTTGGAGAATAACTTGACTTCTTTGATTTGCCATTGTATCCTATTGTTGCATTGGTGTCCCTCCCTTTTTTTATGTCTTTTAATTTTTGGGCATGCAAATTGAGTTTCTTATCTTCATGACTTCTCATAGATACCACTGTCTTTCCCTATATTAAAAATTCTTAAAATTGTGGACTACTTTTCTATCTTATTCTCTAGAAGAAAAATTTCAGTGAACTCTGAAGACTGCGGTAACAGGGATAAAAACAGCTTGATATTTGTATTATATGTCACAGTGTGAAGATGGCACAAATATATGTCACTGTTATCTGTTTAAAGGTTGTTTCCTTTTGTTGGAAATGCGTGTTTTCCTTAAATAAAGTTGACAGATGTTAGCGATGTTTGTATGGATGAAGCTGCTGTGTCTAGTGATCCTGTCATTGCCTTCTTGTTGGATGAAGTGGTCATCAAGGATTGGTGCCAGCGGGCATTCAAGAATATCATAGCAGAACTAGAGTGGATATGTATCCTTATCAATCTTTTTAATTTTTTTATCCAGCACATGTTGATCACTATTTGTGCTTCTGGATATTGTCTGCAGTCTATTGACATTGTTTGTTTCCTAATCTTTCTCATTAGATAATTTGGGAGTAGAAGAGATGAAAACTAGGCTAAGTACACTTCTAAAGTTTTCAGTGCAGCTGGCTGGCATATCTAGTGTGATTGAAGTTTTGTCATCATCGTTTAAGGATGATCTTTCTGCACAGGTTCATGACTTGCACCAACTTCAAGAGAGCATATTAAAGACAAAACAGGTTTGGTTACTACAAAATTATGGTTTTAATGGTGTGGATATATCAATGTTTGATTGTTTAAGGATGATCTTTCTGCACAGGTTTTGTTTGCCCTGGTTCTTTTTTTTTTTTTTTTTACATATTATTTCTGAAATTATTTCATCACATATTCGTTGACCTTTTTTATGAATAACAAATTATATCTCCATATAGTTTCGGACTTCTGATTAGGTATTGCTTTTTCTTGTAAAAGTTCTTAGAGACCATGATCTTGAAAAGCATGATTGATAGTAAATAGGATTTAAATAGAGAAATCAGCTCTTGCCGCATCTCATGCCATAGTTGTGCTTCTGTGATATTTCACTGTGTACCTAGCATCTCCTTATATAAATATATTGTTTTTATTGAATATATGAAGTTGTAAGTGTGCATTTTTTAGTAAGCAGTCAAGTGGGTTATGAACTGTTATCAACATTTGGTCAACTATAAAACTAAGAATAGTTCTGTCTAAATATTGTTTCTTGTTTCAGCATTTGGAGATTATGATGTGGTGTGTAAAGCATCAATTTCTGGAGGATTTGACATCTCGTTATGTTAATTTCGCATCATGGCGTTCTTCAGTCCGTCAAAGGAAATCAGCTGCAACTAAGCGTGCATGGTTTGATGTGGTAAATTACTCTGCAGAGTCCACTGGACAGGATGGTTCTCTGTTCATTGAAGATGCACTAGCTAATCTTGAGATAGAGCAGAAGTATAATCAGGGAAGGGGAGAGGAATTAGAACTTGCATCTTTGCACAAGGATGAAGGAGGCTTGTCCTTCTTTAAGTCCAGGATAGAGGGATTGTCAGGTTGCTACCCGTTTGAAAATCTTCGAGCAGCTGTTGATATACTATTTTTACATGGTAGTTCTGATTTGGTTGTTGCAAAGCAGGCAATTGTATCCTTTCTCCATTTTAAGTTACTTTTTGCATACTGGATGATATCGTTGGTTGTAGATATTTTTAACCAGGGAATATTCTTTTATTTTTTCCTTTGTTTCTTAACTGAGGCTCAGTTTCTCTATTACCTGTTTGATCGGCATTGGACAATGCCTGATGAAAACTGGAGACATATTGTGGATGATTTTGCAGCCACCTTTAGCATAACCCGGCACTCATTACTGGAATCCCTTACTTTCTATCTTCTGGATGACCACACAGATGAGGCTTTGCAGGTAACTTCTGGACATGAAAGATTTGCCTGCATTTGAATGCAAATTTTAATTCCTTTTGAAGGCACATTATTTGAAAAGCTTCATATTTTTCATATGTTTGGTTTCATTGTTTTATTAGTCTGATAATTTTGAAGGCTGCTAAATAGAACTGTGAAAACAATAATGAATTTGTATTAGGAATCGATTTTCTATGCACTTCCATGCCGGTCTAGAGAAGAGATTGTTGCAGCATAATTGTTGGAATTATAAAGTATAAGTATGAGCTTCAAAAATGGTCTTCATTAACATAAGTTTAACATGTCATGGTTTCTATTGTTTGTTCAAGCTCGAAATGGTCTTCATTATCAAAAATGGTCTTCATTACTAGGTTTTGCGTTCTACCTCTACATGTAGAGCTCTTTTTATCTGTCCAAAGTAAATGATCTAGTTTCATTGTTTAGTTAGTCTGCTAATTCAGAAGGCTACTAAATAAAACTTTGTAAACAATAAAAGATATTTTATTAGGAAGCAATTTTCTGATGCACTTCAATGCTTATCTAGAGAAGAGAGTCTCAAAGCATAATTCTTGGAATTGTACAGTAGTTGTATGAGCTCCAAAGGTGGTCTTCATTTACATTAGCTTAGCATGTTTATAGTTTCTATTGCTTGTTCAAGCTCAAAATAATTCATTCTAGGTTTTGTATTAGACCTCTACATGTAGAGCTCTTTTGATCGTTCTACAGATAAATGATCTAGGAATAAAACTAATAGAAGCTCCATCAGGAAAAAAAATTCTATTTCTGTTTTTGAAAGCATTTAAGTTAATTCATTGAAGAATTATTATTGTGAGGTAGATTGAATTCTTATGGAGATTTTAAGTGCATGTTGTTATAGTTAGGATGTTTTCTTTTTTCTTCAATAATTTGTATGGTAAAAAGAAGTGTTCTAGGATGAAAGTGAAGGGTTTTTTTTGTTCCTTGCAGAAATATTTGTTATGTTTTGTATACCCATTTTATAATCTAATCATCTTTGACCTAATTATATTGCTCAGGAAGCTTGTCACCTTCTTCCAGAGATCTCTGGCCCAACAACTCATCCGAAGATTGCTCGAGTTCTCTTAGAAAGGGAAAACCCGGAGACTGCTCTTATGGTTTTGCGTTGGTCAGGTCGTGATGGTGGATCAGAGCTGGTTTCACTCAGTGAAGCTGGGACTGCTGTTCGGGTGAGAGTAGAGTGTGCACTTTTGACTGAAGCTTTTACATATCAGAGGATGCTTTGCAGCAAAGTCAGGGAAAAGCAGTTGAAGTATGGACCAAGTGGGGGCTCTTCTGATTATCTAAAAGGTGACTTCAAGACTTGGGAGCAGTGGGTGGAAATATTGGTCACTGAAATTTGTTGTCTTTGCATTCGGAGGAACTTGGTGGATCGGATGATCGAGTTACCTTGGAATTCCAATGAGGAGAAACATCTACATAAANTTTAGGGTTCAAGAAATTGATTTAGGGTGCAAATTTGCAGGTGTTCGATCGGAAAAAATCGCATCTCCCTTTCGTTCAAGAAATCGCTTTTTGAACTAATGAATTTTGATTAAGCGAGGTGAATAGTTAGTGGGGCTTGTTTTGCGAAATTTCAAATTTTAAAAACTTTCATTATTTATAATTCGACCCACATATGTTTTAATCTTTTCATTTTAACCCATTTTACGTGTTTAATTAATCCTAACTATGCCACGTCATCTTCTCTAAATAAAAAAAATTGATGAACAGTTTCAAGGCCATTTTCTTAAATCCAAACTTGGGATGACCGGGTAGCTAAATTTTCACCTAGTATCCGATAGACTCCAAAATTCTTCTCCTGCCTAGGTCAATATGAGTGAGACACAAGCTACCAGGTATGATGGATGGACTGATCAGAACACCTTTGGTGAGAGCGGGGTCAAGGGAATCAGGAAGAGGGACTTCTACTTCTTTGAATGCAGTTAGGGAATTCTTTCTTAGCCATCCTGTCTTCCCTTCTTTATTTTTATTTAGCAACCCACATGCAATCTCCTCCATTCTTGTGGGTCATAAGAGAAAATCAAAATGAAGAGGAAGATGGAAAAGACCCATCGGATATCTTCAACTATGGTGAAACAACCAATAGCCTACCCTCCATTCAGTTCTCCGTTTGCTCCATTTCTCCTGCAACAGAACTAACGCTTTTCGATAAAGCTTGGACTTGACCAACTGAGACAAGAGAAGCAACGACACATGTCCCTAAAGACTTCTCTGAGGCTGATATAAGCAAAGGAGAGGTAGCTTCCAGGATTAGGAAGATGAAACTTTACAGCCCCAGAGAAGAGGAAGAAGAAAGGAGAAAGGGTGTCTCTACGAGACTTGGGCTTCATCCGTATTATCCATGGAACATCAAGAAGAAGCTTACGCTTAGTTTGTTTACATGGTACATTCATATATTCTTTTGTCATTAATACTTTCTTGAAGAAGTTAGTTGAGCACTTATTAAAGATAGATATTCTAGTTATAAATTTTCTTGAATTTATTATACATGTTAAACAGGACTCATGCATAGAGTTGTTGCCAGAAGTCCAGCAGCAACTAGTGAAGAGTGGAAAATTGCATGTGATAGCTGTTACTTCTGGTGAAGAAACTGAAATGCCAGCTCAATCTGATCTTTCTGGGTAGCAAGAACCAAAATCGACTAGTTTGTTGGCCCCTACATCTGATTCTTCTCTTTTGGGGATGAACCATTTTACTCTAGCTAAATCATCGGCCCTAGTTGAAGATATCCGATGGGTCTTTTCCATCTTCCTCTTCATTTTGATTTTCTCTTATGACCCACAAGAATAGAGGAGATTGCACGTGGGTTGCTAAATAAAAATAAAGAAAGGAAAATAGGATGGCTAAGAAAGAATTCTCTAACTGCATTCAAAGAAGTAGAAGTCTCTTTGCCTGATTCCCTTGACCCCATTCTCACCAAAGGTGTTCTGATCAGTCCATCCATCATACCTGGTAGCTTGTGTCTCACTCATATTGACCCAGGCAGGAGAAGAATTTTGGAGTCTATCGGATACTAGCCATGAGTAAGAGTGAGATGAGAGAATGTGCTAAACTAATTGAAGATATTTGAAAGACGAGAGTGAGAGTGAGTAAGAACGAAAAGGACGGGTATCCATTCTTTANCAATTCGATCCTTTCATCATACGTTATCTCGACGAGACGAAGGCATAGAAATAGTGTCAACCTTCGGTTACTCTCGATATTATTTATTCAGTTTCTAGACCAATGACTCGTATGATAAACTGGATAGAGCAACAACTCAATCCCACTGTGGCCACAATTTTAGTGTCATTGCCATTTACTGAACTGCGCCATGAGATAACTTTCTCCCGTACCTAGGAGTGATGAATCCTCTGTCAATCCACCATAGTCTTGATACACTCCTTGATGCAGCCAAGCACCACCGTATTGACAGCTCTAAAAAGAACTGCGTTAGGCTAGTGTCAAACTACACCAATCGGTGCACAAGGCGCTCCGGTGATCTCAAGTTTAAGGATCACATGCACCACCATTCGTTAGAGGATTTGTTCCATAGACACTAGGGTTACCATCCATATGGAATCCTCTGGTGGGTCAGTCCAGTCAACTTGCTGTGGTGTAATCACCTACAGCAAGCACCCATGTGTTGCACCAGGTTGTCACCAAACAACCTTGACAAGTGAGATTAGTCATTGCCTTTCAACAGAGTCGTTCAACACTATGATAGTCTTACCGTATTATCTGTGCCCTTACTTCAGAATAATACTAGGGCTACGGACGTTTCTAGAATAGCCACCATATGTGCTCATAGGGTTCTCACTATCAAGATTTGAAACACTTGATACTCTCATCACGGTTCTACCATTCTAAGGACATATATCAATACATATTGTAATAATAATGATTTACGCGATATAGAATAAGATGCCTTTTATTATTGATTAATGAACATTATTATAAAGAGTCAATTCTACAATAATTGATTGGCTCTAGGGCACCTACTCCAACAGTTGAGAGATCACCAAATCCAATACCTAGTTCTTTAAATCCTTCCATTTTTGCTCATAAACAGTGTGCTGAGACTTGGTTCAAAATTAGAGGAAACAAGTGAGTTTTTAATGTTCATTCATTACTGGTCTAATCTAGATTTTTATTACTTGTTTTGGATTTGTAGGGTTTGAATTAAAGCTTAGTTAGTTACGTTTTGGTTTTTTTTTTTTTTTTAATTTGTACGGGTACTCGTGGGTGTACCCGGTCCACCCATTTACAAAACTATCTGGGTCGGGTATAGGTTCAAAAAAAAGGGCCCAATTTTACGGACCTGTACCCTATATTATTTACTTGGGTATGGACTTGTTTTGCCAAGTCTAGTTGGGTCAAGGCATTGGGCCATATAATGATCATAACATTATTGGGTCATCAGGGGTCCATTATGATTTTTTATCATACAGTTTATCCCCTACTCTCTAAGTTAAAGGGTTCTTAGCTTAGAGAGTAGATTAAGTCGAATGTGAGCTGAATGAGCCAACGTCTAAGAATCACGAGGTCAAGTGGACCATTATTCAAAGCGCAATGTAGCCGTCGTAAGCGTACATTTGGTTTACATATCGAACAGGAAAGAAGGAATCATGGATTCCTTGTTGGTGGGTATCATGAGCAAACTCGAACTTAAATGAGCTTATCAAGGAGATAGAGATCATTTATCTTAACTTAGTACATCCGATGTGAGCTAAGTGTTCACGGTGAAGAGGAACTTAGAAGCTGGTTCGTCACTCCTCGTTTTATTCCAAGTGTTGGAAGATCGTTTAGCACATTCCATTCGCATGGAGTGTGAAAGTGAGTAGGTACTGAGCTATGAGCTCGTGAGTGAATCAATCTTGGCAACATATGCCAAGTTGGGTGCCTAAAGGCATTGAATGAATTGCGTGAGCTACCATGTTGGATGGTGATGAGAATTTGTTTGGGAGTTGTGAAGTTGGAGACGTAGTTGTGTTAAGGTACAAGTAACAAAATTTTAACGACTCTTTTACTCTCTTGAAGAGTTGTCTTTTATGCATTTAATGTTAACGACTAAAATGACATTTTTTTTTGGTGCATTAAATGTTGATGTACTGTGTAGTGGCAGTTACTCATGTTTCCATTCGACAGTTACGCCTTCTCGTTTGATTGGAGTCGCGTGGATTTGTGTGAATGGTCGAGATCAATTCATGTTCACTTTATATTAGAATTTGAAGCGTTGTTTACCATTCTTGGATATTTGTCTTCTTTGTTTGAAACAAACCCTAAGAACTTCATTCTTTCACTATCTTTCTATGACCAGAGCTTAGTTTGACACTTTGGCGACTTTTCAAGCATCTGTTTGCGACGTTCACTATCAAACACTTGAAGAACTCTTAACACTATTCGTTTAAGGTATTTTCTTTCTCTTTCTTGTGTTAGAGTAGGTGCCCTAAAGTCAATCAATTATTGTAGAATTGATTCTTTGTAATAATGTTTATTAATAAATAAAAGACAATTTCTACTATGTCATGTAAATCATAATTGTATGTATTGATATATGTCCTTAGCATGGTAGAACCGTGACGAAGGTATCAAGTGTTTCAAATCTTGATAGTGAGAACCCTATGATCACATAAGGTGGCCATTTTAAAAATGTCTATAGCCTCAGTATTATTCTGACCAATGACAAATAATACAGTAAGGCTATCATAGTGTTGAATGACCCTGTCGAAAGGCAGTGACTGATCTCACTTGTCAAGGTTGTTTACTAACAACCTAGTGCAATGCATGGGTGCTTGTTGTAGGCAAGTTCACTGGACAGACCCGCCAAAGGATTCCATACGGATGGTAACCCCAGTGTTTAAGGAATAAATCTTTTAACGAATGGTAGTGCATATGATCTTTAGACTTGAGATCACCGGAGCGCCTTCTACACCGATTGGTGTAGTTTGACACTAGCCTAACATAGTTCTATTCAGAGCTATCATTATAGTAGTGATTGGCTGCATCAAGGAGTGTATCAAGATTGGTGGATCGACAAAGGATTCATCATTCTCGGGTACGAGAGAAGTTATCTCACAGTACAATTCAGTGAATGGCGATGACACTAAAGTTATGGCTATAGTGGGATTGAGTTTTTGCTCAATCCAATTTATTATTCTGATCATTGGTCCAGTAACTGAATACAAAGATATCGAGGATATCTAAAGTTGACACTATTTTTGTACCTCAACCTCGATGAGATAACAGATGGTGAAAAGATTTGATTGCACAGTAATTATATCGTTGATAGGTAGATATTTCGCTGAATCCGAATATATCGGGTGGCTATGATGCCTTGCTCAATCCAATTTTTTATTCTGATCATTGGTCTAGTAACTGAATATAAAGATATCGAGGATATCTAAAGTTGATACTATTTCTGTACCTCA